TGGCTGGTGCTCACCTATTATCGTCCCTGTTTTGATTTCAGCGAATCAGTTCGAGCAAATGCACACAACCTGATTAATATTCATGAATCCAGCAGCTCATTAATCCTTAGTGCGATTGTTCTTATTAGTAGAATTCGTATCATTATCACCTTATCAGTATCTTTGTTAGTTTTTTCCAATGGCGAGTAAACTAAAAAATGTACTAGCCAATGGCGATTCAATTGCCAAGGTGTCCGTAGAGGGTTGAGTAGAGTCATCCACTTTCGCTCAGTCAGACCCATATGCTGCGATAGACAACTCATCCTAATCGCGAGCTCCGAATGAGAGATCGAAACTCAAACTCACCTAGAAACTCTGCTGGAGAACACGTGCTGTTGGAGGAATGAGAGGTAGCATCTGAGGTTATTCGCGGTCTTCTTTAAAAAAAAAGAACGGCAGCCACGAGCGCAAGGTGCGGATAGCCATGTCCTCACAAGAAGGACATAAACCATCCACAAAAGCTGCTTCAGCATGGGCACAGCCCAAACACTGAGCACAGTGATTGTGCCTGTCAGAGGGTGAAATGTACAAACTGCAACCAGAAGGGCACAGATGGAAAGGCATGATGTAAACACACACAAATCCACCCGTGAAGCTCTTTTAGAGAAATTGCTCATTGCAGAAGGAAATCTGCTCTCAAAGATCGCAGTTGAATCACCAAGGGGTACTCTCACTACACTTATCTGTGTATGAGCAAAGGAGAAACCGCTGCTTGTGCCATAGATCCAATGACGAGGAGATTGAGAGGGGAATGAAGTGCTGCATCTCCAAAAGAGATGCTGCATTGGCTTCGAAGAAGAGAACAAGTGAGCAAATGCCACGCTGGCCTATTTATACCTGGATATCCGGGGTGTGGCATGCTATGCAAATTTTGCTCCACAATTTCATTGGCCTTCTCTCAATGATGTCAGAGGTGTCTGGGCTCCCAAGTGCGACCCCTAGTGTTGGAACTTAACATAACTTCGAAATGACTGACTGAAAGGTAACAGTAATATCTAACACTCCTGTGTTTCCATCAACAAATTTAACACTGTGGAAGATTGTTAAAACATTTTATGGCCTTAAATACTTTTTGGGACCGCTGTAGATATAGATGTTAGTATGCTGTTTTCTGAAGAGTGTGTTTGTGAAGGACAGCTGGAGTGATTTTGACTTGTAATACCTGTAGCACTTTCCCCTGCGGGCTCTCGTCAAACATCAGGGATTGCTGGAAGGTTGGATCCAGGGTTTTCTTCACCACTTTGGTTTTCTTCTTAGCAAGACACATTCCATTCTCCAGGACATAAACCTTTACATATGTTGCTGACAGAGAAGGAAACATGCAATCATGAAGCAGTGTTCTGTGTTCTTACCTAACAGGTAATGTAGATCAAATTAAACAACTCAATCATGTTTAACGGTGGGTTACCTTGAATGTTCTTTGAGCCTGGTTTAGGGGTCAGACCTCGGGCCTGCGTGATCTCGACCTCTAACTGACCCCCTCTATCCACCACACCGATGTAAACATCACCTACACAGAAAACCATGCGCTTATAAAACCTGCTTGCAATGAAATCAATCAACAGCAGGTGGAGACAAAGAACAAAATATAACCTCCACTCTTGATAGTTTCTACCTTGATATTTGATCATAAAAGTGAGAATTAGACACTTATTATGTCTAACAAATCAGTATCTCCAGCTCAGTCAACCTGAGCTCATGAAATGGTTGACATTTACCATGCACCATATCATTTCTACAGTTTATATACCATGCTCAGTATATAAATATATCATATATTTGTAATTACACATTTGTAATGATAAAGTTGCAATTTAATAAATTTTAATATTTAAATATATAAATGTATTCAATGTAATAATTACACAAATTACAAAAATTTATATATGAAATCAAAATAAAATTTCAAAATAGCCCTTTTTTATGAACATGACGGCAATTGTTGTATTGAGTGCAAACTGGCCAGTATGCAGGTGTCTTACCCATTGGCGGTGTGGCTAATGTCTGCCGCCCCACTATCTGAGCAGGACCAAGACCGTCCAGGAAGTCACTGAATTGGCTCTCAGGGCCGAGGCGAGTGGTGGGGAAGATGAACCTGAAATACACCCGGTGAGATGTGTGAAATGGGTGATCAATCAAACTCATCAATACAAAGCAGGTTTGTTTCTAACCAGTGCAATATACAGTGCTACTTAATCATATACTTTGACAGTGCCTCACGTTATACACAGATGGGAGAATCTCATGAAACCTGTCAAGTTTTGACCATATTTATGGTTGCAAGTAGCTATTATTTTGATAACCGATTAATCTGTGGATTATTTATTTGATTAATCAATTACCCAGATGAAAAAAAAATCCAATATTTGTTAATTATTTAAAAAAATAATTTTAATTATAAATAAAAATGTATTTTTATTTTAATATTATTACTAATCATTTACAGATTTTATCAATTAGTTGTTGCAGTCCTAATCATATTGCACCATATTTGAATTGTGACATTAGTTTCATGGCAATTAAGCACATTTCCTCCTGCTGTAATGTGAAATAAATATATTATCATATCATATTATTAAAATTGTAAAATACCATTGTACTGCCTTTAATTTATGATCTAAATAAAACTAAACAGCTGTGGTCCTAAAAATAGGTTTCTGCTTATTTTATGCAAAATGTTCTATTTTTTTTTTTCATTTGATTTTGAAATGTGGACATGTTTTTGTGAGATTGGGTCAGATATAAACGCATTCGGATGCAGTGATTAATTAAATGTGTTCACACTCACGTCCCATCAGAGCTGTTGCTGTTAGTGCTGCCATCTGTTGAGTCCTTACTGCCCTGCCGTGTGACACGGTTCCTCATCTCCACTGCGATACCCGTCTCTGTGCTCCGCCGGATGGTGCTGCGTAGCTTCTTTGTTCCACCATCTACACAAAGATACACATATGCAACACTGGTCATTTTCCATGAATAGAGCACCAAACTCCTGGGCTTGAAACTCCTTAAAATATATACAGTATATACACTCACTGGCCAGGTTATAAGGTACACCTTTTCAATTACTTGTTAATGCAAATATCTAATCAGCTAATCACATGGCAGCAACTCAGTGTATTTAGGCATGTAGACATGGTCAAGATGATCAGCGGAAGTTTTATACTCAAATATCACCAGATCTCAATCAAATAGAGCACCTTTGGGATGTGGTGGAGAGGGAGATTTGCATCATGGATGTGCAGCCGACAAATCTGCAGCAACTGAATGATGCTATCATGTCAATATGGACCAAAATCTCCATTTCCACACATTTTCCACAAATCTCCACACTCCAAAAGTGTTTCCAACACCTCATTGAATCTATGCCACCAAAAATTAAGGCATTAAGGTCTTAAAGGCAAAATGGGGTCCAACCCGGTACTAGCAAGATATACCTAATAAAGTGTTTGGTAAGTCTTTATATTTACTTAATTTCAGTCAAATTAGTTGTCAGCAATGCTAGTCATCAACCTCAGGAGGTCAAACTAAATATTAAATTGTTTATTTTTTTTATTAATGTTTAAAGGGTTTGCAGTTTTTGCAACCCTCTTACCAACATGTCTATATGAAACTTTGTGTCATTTTGCTATATAAATTATAATAATTAGGGAAAAAAACATAATGGGTAAAATGTTTGGAGAGTATTAGGTTTGCATGTTTAGCCTAAATCAAGCTGTCACTCAAAAGGGGCCAGCAACTTTGGGACCAAAATATATATATATATATATAAATAAAATAAACATTTCTCATTTTCATTTAGTTTAACTAAATTAGATGCACTAAGATAACTAAACTAAATCGTAAGTCAAAATAAATAAAAATGGCATATGTTTGAAAATTGGATAAAAATTACAAAAACACAAAACATAATTACTAAAACTTTACCTAAAATTACAAATGAAAACATTTATGAATAAAAATGATATTATCTTGTTATCCTATATTATTATAACATAATATTGTTACATGGTAACATAGTTGAATGGCTATGTTTTATGAATGCAATCAACACTAAAATGTGTAAATATTAGGAGAATAATATTAATCTGATGCTCTAGAAAGGGTCTAAATGATGTTAAATAATAGTGTAAATTTTAAGCAATGAAGGAAATCATGCTGTAACAGGGTTGCGTGTAGAATGTTGGACACAAAAATCACACTTATTAATTGAAATGAGTTAATAGTTAAACATGTTTTTAATGCAATTAATTAAATATCATTTCAATCGATTATATCAAAATGATAACATTATATGACTACAATACAGTCAGGAAGGTCAAGACCTTTGAGCCTTTAATACTTAAAAAAAAGTCACAGACATTGACGTGTCATGGAAAGTGACACAGATATAAACTCCTAAAATTGAATGCCATGTAAAACCGCACTGCATGAACAGCTCAAGTGTTTATGAAAAAACAGCTGAGCTTATATAGTCTGGTCATATTTCATACCAGCAGTCATTTACTTGGGTACTTATGTAAACTCATGTGTACCCATACTCTGTGTGACTTCCAGCTGTTTACAGCTGCTGACATACTTTCCTTCCAAACAATCAATCCAGACAGAGCAGAAGAGCATGATGATCATTCAAATGCTTTTGCTTTTGTCCTCAAGCACCAAATATAGAAATCAGAAGAGATAAACCACATGAAAATGGTGGCTAAATTTGAAATAGGACTTATCAAAAACACAGTAGGTGATAATAAACAATGCTGAATTTAACTTTTAAACTAAAACCCCTCATATTTCATGTTCCCAGAAAGTCACCCGGGAGTTATAGAGTGCTACATCCATTATCAAGTGCACACTAGGGTGGTCCCCATGCTGCTGAGCTCCAAAAGTGACACTACTGACCATCTGATGCATACTGCACACAAAACCCGAAAGCACTTGTGGAAATCGCAAGCTCCGATCAGCCTGCTGGGAAACAAGACTGTGTTTACAGAGTACTGGCTTGATATTATGAGTGCTATTTTCTAGATTCTTAGCATCACATCTTCACATTCAAAGTTTTGTTTGAGGCAATTAGGAGCAAGTTCACATGTCAAAGTCTGCAGTTTTTGGTCAGAATATAAGGTACAATGAGGCTAAAGCTGCACCGCGGTGAAAGGCACATTTGATTTTAGTCTCTTCTAAACCACTAAATAGCACAAAAACATACGACAGTGCTTTTCCTAAACATCCACGTTTTACTATGCATGTGAAAAATCTGCTTGATTCTTGACACCGTTGTGGGCAGCAATGCAAAGTTGATTCTGCGCTAATTTGAGCTAATAATTTATGCTTTTTTTGTAGATTTATGTAGCAAATAAATTATGTCGCAAAAATTATATTTATTGTTACTACTGTAAAGCCATATTATGGGATTTTCTTCAAAGCTTCCAGAATCATTACTTTTTAAAAAATATTTTTTCCCCTGTATTTTTAAAATGAACATAATTTAATGACAACGTACATTTACTGAACTAAAATATGTTTCTTAATTTATCAAAATAAACAGAAAAGAGTAAACATTTTGCTGAAGTGATTGTTTTGAACAATTATAAACTTAGATATATGCAAAACATTAAAGTACAGTATTTGTATCAGTACTGGGTTCCTTTTGCCTCATGCTAGTGAACTTTGCTGAATAACAACACTATTGCCTTGGTAGAGCTGCTTTACAGCAGAATTTAACATCGTCTCATATCTGAAATTTTCTGCATCATTGATTCTGTTATTTTCCTTTTTATTACTGTGGCGCTACTTTGAAACAATCTGTATTGTATAAAGTGCTATATAAAAAAGGTGACTTTACTTGACTTTTATCCCGAGTAAAAGGCCCGCCCTCACCACCTCATGCATTTGTAAGATTTTTAAACAAAACAAACCAATTTTTATGATTTATTTTCCCACAAAATGTGTTGCTCCATCAATGTTTAATAAAAACATATTGATTTGCAATAATACACTATGGGAGCAGTGAAAAACACATTTTTCTTAAAGGGTTAGTTGGAATAGTTTGAATATGGATATTTTTCTTACAAAAATGCATTGATTCGCTACAGAAGGCCTTTGTTCACCCCCCGGAGCCGTGTGAGACACTTTTTATTATGGATGGATGCGCTTTATTTCCCTTGTTTTGGACTGATGAACTGCAACACCCGCTGACTGCCATTAAACAGCTTGGAAGATCAAAGACAATTTTTAATATAACTCCGACTGGATTCGTCTGAAAGAAGAAAGTCATATACACCTAGGATGCCT